CAGGGACTGATCCTTGAGGAAGTCATCCTCTAGGCTGGTTGAAGATGTGCGTGCTCCAAGGAAAAGCACAGAAAGGGAAGTCTGAATGAATTGGGCTTGTTCAGTTTGGAAAGGAGAAGAGTGAGAGGGGACATGATAGTGGTTTTCAAGTATCCAAAAGGGTGTTACAAGGGGGGGGGGAATTGTTCTCCTTGGCCTCTGAGGATAGAACAAGAAGCAATGGGCTTAAAATTGCAGCAAGGGAAGTTTAGGTTGGAGACTAGGAACCACTTCCTAACCGTCAGGGTGGTTAAACACTGGAATAAACTGCCTGGGGAGACTGTGGAATCTCCATCACTAGAAGCAGCGAGGAGTCCTGTGGCACCTTATAGACTAACTGAAGTGTTGGAGCATAAGCTTTCGTGGGCAAAGACCCATTTCGTCAGATGCACAGGTGCCACAGGACTCCTCGCCGCTTTTGCAGATTCAGACTAACACGGCTACCCCTCCATCACTAGAGATATTACAGAGCAGGTTAGACAAACACCTGTCAGGGATGGTTCTAGACAGTGCTTGGTCCTGCCATAAGGGCAGGGGACTGGACTTGATGACCTCTTGAGGTCCCTTCCAGTTCTAGGATTCAATGATTCTATGTTATGTATCACTTATAGATGAGCAGTAGCTGGTGAAATTTTATTTCACTTTTTGTAATTTTTTTTTTTTTTTGTAAAACCCACATCTAGCAGGATAACCTTTCAGCAAATTGCAGATTCCTGTCTCTTTGGCTAACATAAGAGAACATTAAGACACACCCTTCTGGATCTGAAAAGTACTTTAGAAATGCCTGTTTTCTGTCTAAGACATGTGAGTTCAGAGAATAAGTGAGTCTTTCAAATTTGTAACTGTATTTACTCTCTCAGACAGTTACATTTTTATAGTATGGGTGTGACAAATTGTTCACATTACTCTCACATTAGGAAAAACAACACATGTTATACCATTCAGGATATGGATATGACAGCTTAAACACTTAAATGGTTAACTGTTGAGCTTGGGTTTATCAGTCAGCCTTCATGGTTACACACAAGTCCCTCCCTCTCCCTCTCCCCACATGCTGCTGCCTCTGTATCAGAGCAGGAGGGCAGGGGTAGGGGGTGGTGGTGGGGGAGCTATACG